GTTCACAAACATTATCTACGGTGAAACCCATGAGGGGTTGGCATTTCCAGAGTATTCGAATTGTTTTTAAAGGTATCGTATTCTTCCTAATGATTCCATCAACATATGTCTTCTTGACGCTATACTCACTTATAAATCTGAATGTCATTAACTGGGGAACACGTGAGGCTGTCGCAAAGGCAACAGGAAAGGTGAGTGGGTTTGGAACTTTGTTGAATATTTTATTATGTCCCTTGTTTTTCTTATGACAATTATTTTTCAAGGTTGAGACTACGTCAACATTCGAACGCTGGCTGCGACGTATTGGTGAGAGCTCTTGGTCGGCGCTGTGCCCAACGCTTCCGTGCCAGACCAGACGAGGGAATGCAGTTGATAGAGAGGAAGCTGGAGAGACTGGAGCGCTCAGTCACTGATTTACAGGTTAATCAACAAGTTTACTTGAGGAGGAGGAGGTCTGAATAGCACTTAGCAAGCGTAGAGATAACGGAGTAGAGCAATGCTCTACCATGGAAGAAGACGTTGAAAGGGTGTATGTCGTGAGGAACGATTCCTTCGAAACTGACGTGCCATGAGGTGCAACCCTCTTAACATCTCTTAGTACATGACATGGAGCAGTCTGACTGTGGGGGAGAGGGGGGGGAAGGGTTGAGATTTCTGCCAGATCCCATTGATCATTGGATGCCAATGCCTCCTGTGGGGGCCAGTGACATCTTGTATGATATGCAATACTACTAGCTTCATTTACGCTTGACAAGAGATTACAGGTCTCGTTTACAGGTAACAGGTGGTGTGACAAGTCAATTAATAGGAATACCTGCTCCTCCCCACTTCGACGAGCCGCGCCCCATGATATGTCTTAAAACGAATTCGGCTGCGAGCCTCCACCGGACTAATGACTAATTGAAATATTGCTAGAAGTAAACTTGTAAGAGTATGTAAAATGCCATTTAGTGTTCTTTTATTCAGAAAATTGATCAAGATGATCAGAAAGCGAAGGAGCGACTGCTAAAGGTGGCGCAGGACATGGATGAAGCGGCGGGCACAAACGATGTAGGTGTCCCTCGTAGTGGTTGTTACTCCTTCTTGTCTTTTTTGAGAGATAGCTTTTAGATTGTCGAAATTCGGCGTCCAATTGTAGAAGCAAAACCAGTTCGTGCGATGGATAAGTACATGTGGATGGAAGGTGACTACTTAAAGGTCAGCCTCGCCAGTGAACTTGTTTATTGTTCACGTGAATTGTCAAAAGTGCCCATTCGTGTCGTGTTTATTTATTATTTATGATTATATTTCGTGTCACTGTAATTGGCAGGCGACTGTGCGCGCCACTCCACGGAGTTGCAGTCAGGGCACTGTCGAGCAGGGAGAGGTCGTATTTGGTCTTGAAAAAAATTTTTGACAGCTGATTTCTCTTGTTTCACGGACGCTATAAGGGGGGGGGTCGTATTTGGTCGTTGTTGGGAGAGGGACTGCTGTCAAAGATCTATACAACTACTATTTCCGATAGTTGAAAATGATAGTTAAATCCTGACGACCTCCCCCC